GTTGAATTTTGATATTATATTTTGATATTATCAAGAAATTTCTAATAATTACAAATTTTCAAAAGATAATAAAATTCAACTAAATGGTATTGATTGATGATATTTTTAAATTGTATGCTATTAAAAATTATCGTTAATCAAAATTATAGTTAGTATTTTTTTTTATTGTGAACATTTACAATCATTAGAATTTCTTGATAATATCATAAAAGTAGTGCTGGCAAAAAGGAATCTATATATTTTCAGGGTCTAAAGCGGGTCAACGGAGGGTTTTAACTAAACCCTACTTTGAAGCTTTAGCAGGAAAAAAGGAAATTTTGGACATATTGTAGTGCCAAAGTAGGTGCTATTATATACATACGATACAATGCATAACATCTACTTTGACTCTCTTATGCCTACCTCAAAATAAAAGATTAAGGTTCAATATAGATGCTAAATTTCGACTCGGGTGCGCACGATGCAAAATAGCTACTGCATTATTAAAAACCGCAAAATTTGTTAGAAGGAAACTTTTTCATATCTCTTAATATTAGTTCTATTTCTGTGATTTATTTAAGGCAATAATAAAATTCTCAAAAATTCTTAAATAATTTTCGCTATGCTAAAAATGATTTATCGCTCTTCTTGTTCTACACAGCAAGTTATGAGACACACGAGAAATACACCATAAAGCAGAGTTAAAAAATTTTTTAGGTTCTAGAGAGATTATTTATTAAAGGAGTATACAAATTAATAAAATTTAAATTACTAAAATAAATTAAATATTTATGTAAAAAATAAGTAGTTATTAATACTGCATCGTGTATTTAAAAAATAACAATGTTTGATCAGAACACGCGGATAAATTCTCGAACAAACAAACATAAATTGAAAGCAGAAAGAAGAAAGTTTCATTTAATTAGTTTCTTTGTATTGTTAAAATTTAAATTTTTATTTGTTTTTTACATTTTCGCTTATTCACGCAATCTGTTTCAATTTCAACCTGAAAAAGTAAATATTATATATTTAAACTGAATAAACCTTTGCTTCGTTTGCAATAAGTGAAATGTTTATTAATGAAGCATTTTATTAATACATTAAAGTCAAATAAATAATTTCTCGAAAAATAAAGCAATTTGTGATCTGTGCGAATTTATATTTGGCAAATTAATCGACAAATAATTATTTAATTTTCGTGATAGTACAAATGCGTTTTGCCAGATATATAAAGTAGGCAAATTTATTTGAAAAATGCAAAATTTTTTTTTACACAATCCGATATTATTCCAATATCAGATTTGCAAATAATAATTATAAAACACAAGTATACCAAATTATAATTCAATTTATTCTAGAAAAAAGTTTACTCTATTGCATTAGAGAATTTCATATCACACTATACTTCAAAGATTGAGATTCTAAATTAAAAATTAAAATTTAATCAATTAAATAATCTGCGTCTTATTGTTAGCTCACTCTGATCTAAAAATATGAAGTTTTATCAATTTGCAATCTTCAGTTTCCAAAGGATAGTCTGGCTTAAAAATTTCTTGAACAAAAAATTTCGAATGGAACAGCTTCAGAAAAAATAAAGATCGCGAAAATATTGGTTCTTATGTAATCTAATCTAACTTTTCAGCAATTGCATTAGTACAAAATATTAAAATATTAAATAAAAATATTACATAAAAATATTAAAATTTAAATACAAAAAATGATAATTTATACTTATTACGCAAGATGTCCAGATATTGGTAACAAAAAGAAGAATAGAAAATTTCATTGTTTACCTTATTGAATAATTCTACATTATGGGTGCATTCGTTTATGCAGTTACTGCCGCAGATGTCGTTCGTTTACTCCGCCTGCGAAAACGACTGCAGCGCAGTTTGTCGTTCGTTTACGCAGGGATGTATCCCATCTGCGCAGGTACTTTGGAGGTCCTGCTCTGGATGCTCTGCTTGCAGTACTGCGTAAACGAATATACGCAGTGCAAATATAGTTTAATTATCTGCATCCGCATGATTAACTCAAATGTAAAAATGAATTTTATTAAAGTGAAAAATGAAAAAGGGGAAGAACAACTCCTCGAAATCGATCCCGCAAAAAGTGAAAATAATCCACAGTAAGTATTATATAATGGAAAAATTTTTTAAAGTTTACGATATTTGTATTTACAATTAAATTAACCTAAAAATGCACACTAGAATATTATTTTGTAATAAAAGTCTTCTATTACAATTTCTCGTACTGGAATAATATGTATTACTGGTGTGCAATTATTTTTTTGAATCTAATCTATTCTTTACTACTTACTTATGTTTCTTTGTATAATCCACAATTCATAGATTTCAACAATCGTCAAGCTTTTCATCCAATTGATTTAAATACAATTGCAACAACTTCTGAATCTTTATTTACTATTGTTCCATCTTCATTTGCACACTCACATCCTGTTAACAATATGGAAAAGTTGCTTGTCAAAACAGAAACATCTTCACCATCAGTAGAAAGTAAGTAATCAAGGAAATGAATATGTTTATATTGTTTTCTATTACGCATGATTTATAATCTTCTATTTTGTTTTATTTTATTGTTTTATTCTATTAAATTTTATTCTATTAAATTCTATTTTATTAAGAAAAAAATACAGTAAAGGAAATTAAATTATTCTTGAAAGTCATTCCGAAGATATTATAAGTAAAGATATTTATTTCATGTACTTTATTTATAATTTTAGATGTTTCTAAAGAGAACTGGACAGATGCAGAAATACAGCTTTTACTTGAACAACGTCTTAGTATGAACGATAAATTCGAAAATCCAAACAGCCGAAAAACACCATACTGGAATTTAATTGTTAAAGCTTTTGAAGAAAAAGGATATAAAGTTAAAGTACAAGATTTGATGAATAAATGGAAAAATCTCCTAGTTACGTACAATCGAAATGCAAGTAAATTAAAAAAGACTGGTGAAAGTGCAATTACTTGGAAATATTTTCAACAAATGCATGAATGTTTTGCGACAAAAAAGAGTGTAAATCCTCCTGAAAAATTACTGGGTTCAACTTTCAAACCGGAAACACTAACTCTAAAGGATGAATTAATTCTAAAGGATGAATTAACTGATGACACAGGTAAAGAAAATGCAAATGTCATAGAAAAGAAATGGAATTCGAAAATATTCACTCTATTTTATTAGTTAAAAATATTTATGATTTTAGATGCCTCTACAGAAAACTGCACAGAAGCAAAAAGAAGAAAAAAAAATTTGCCGAAGAAAAAGAAAACCCAATTTCAAGAAGAAATGTTGCGAATTGTCGAAGAAAAAAAATCACAAGCATTAAAACTGAAGATAGAAATGTGGGAAGATAAAAAGAAAATTGCAAAAAGCAAAATTGAAGCGATAAACAATCTTGCAACAATCTTAAAAGATATACAAAAAAACCGCACAACATACAATGACTGAGTTATATATAATATTAATATTTATATATTATATATTATTTTAAGTATTTCTAGTATTTCTAGTATTTCTAGTATTTCTCTTTTCTTATAAGTGTTACTAAGTCCAATAATTTTAAAATTTGTTTAAAGAGTAATACTTTAAATTGTCGAGGCTTTCTGATTTTTTTTATGACAGCTTTTGTGCTAAAGACAAATAAGCGAAAGTTTTTTTTTGTAGTTATGAAAAGTTAAAAAATTAATATGAAGTTTATGTTACATGTTATAAGATTGATATAATTTTCGTAGAGACATATGTAAAGAGAGATGTGTGTGTCATTTTGAATATTTTCAAACTTTTGTGCAACTTATATGCTATTTAAATGTTACTTTTATAGGAAAATTCAAAGACTTCTTTCACATTGTGATCTCTTTAGCTAAAGGTTTTTTTTTTGTTTATTTTTAGATTCCTATATTTTAATGAAATATCTGTGTTTCATGCATTAAAAATGTTACCATAGTTTCTTACCATAGTAAAACTTTTTTATTTTGCTACATATTAAAATAATACGTTTCTGATACAATCATTATGCTTCACATACTGAAAACATGTATTCCAATATATATGTTGATATATGTATTTTACTGAATATAATGTAATACATTACTTTCGATGTATTTGTTAGACTAAAGTGAAATAAATGTACACCAAATGTTATAAGATTGACATATAATTTATTTATTTATTCGTATTTGTAACAAATTCTCATAAGAATTTATACAAATTTCCTCACGTCTCAATATAAATTTGCACATGTTCTATTTCTTACTACAGAATTTATTTTTTTTTATTTGTTGTTCACCTATTCCATTTCATCTTCTATTCATCTTCTATTCATCCACAAAGTGTCTACAATTCTATTTCTTTTATCATTAGCTATTTCCAAAATGGCATTGTCCTCGTCCTGGTCTCTATTTTCTTCCTCACGTTCATCGTCACTTAATTCTGTTTCATCATTATATCTAATGCATATATTATGCAGAACACATGCAGCAACAACAACTATTTTCATTTCATTCATGAGATACATATTTAAATATTCTAATCTTCTAAATCTAGCTCTCAGCTTTCCAAATGCCTGCTCAATGACAACTCTCTTTGAACTTAATTTTTTATTATACAGCTTTTGTCTTGGAGTTAAGTGACCATTATTACGAAATGGTGTTAGTAAATAAGGTTGTAAAGTATACGCAGAATCTCCTATAATATGAGTTCCTTCCGGTAAAAGTGTTGGATCTTCTGCAAGTGCTTGACCAATAGGACTTTCCCTCCATACTCTCGCATCGTGAGTCGCACCAGGCCAACCAATAAAAATATCAATAAACTGACATTTTGCATCGCAGATCCCTTGTAGAATAATTGAGTGAAAACCTTTTCGATTATAATAACTTATAGGATCATCTCTTGCAGCTGGAATTTCAATATGCATTCCATCAACTGCACATGCCACGTCTGGAAAATTATTCGGTCCTCTGAGCTCGTCAAACTGTTGTCTTATACATTGAAACTCTGCCAGATTTGGCCAGTGTAGATATTTATTCACGATACTACACAGAGCACTGCATACATCAAGAAATATTTTATGTGTAGTACTCGAGCTTAAATCGAATAAATTACTGACTTCTCGAAAAGAATCTTGATTTGCCAGTAACCATAATGTTGACAATATCGCTTTCTCCAATGGTACATTAGGATGGCCTCCTTCATTGTTATTAGGTAGCAATATAAGCCCAATTGCTCTTCTTACAATCTTAAACAAAGTAAATTTATAAAATTAAAGATGGACTATACCATACATTGCTTGTAAAATACAACCTTCTGATTTATATACTACTTACTTACCTCGAAAGAACTTCTCGTAAGGCGAAAATGAGATTGAAATGTTTTATCACGCATACAATAAATTGTACCATAATAATTGTCAACCTTCGGTACTTTCATGCGTTCCTACAAATAAAAAAAATTCAGCGTTGTGATACATATTATTTATATATATAATTTTTTTAATTAATTAATTTTTAATTAATTTTAATTAATACAATAGTCTCAAAAGCCGATATCATATAAAATAAAATTCAAATGAAAACGCAAACAGTCTGCTTATAGTTGTTGTGAACTTGAAAAAGACAGGATTCTAAACATTGTTTTCACTAAATAATGTTTTTAAAATAAAATTGCTCAATCAACAAATACAGGCTGTTTGTTTTTTCATTTGAATTTCAATTTTTAAAAATATATATTATTATTTTTATAAGTTTCTAAAATGTCAAATAAACTAAAAAATGAAACAATACCATATCATCCAGCAATAGTAGTTCTTCATCAGAACTGTCCGACCATAAATCAGAGTCTGAGCTACTGTCACTGTTGGTTAATTCTTCCACAGCACAATGAATAACATTCAATATTCTTTCCATTGTAGTTTCTGAAAATTAAATTTTTTAAATAAAATGTGCTTAAAGATATAATTCACAAAAAATTAACACCTAACTTTTAAATATAATCATAATAATAAATAATAAATTAATAGATCAATATCTCCATAAAAATATGATTCAATCTAAAAATTTTACCTAATCTAAAAATTTTATTACATTTTAATTGTTCGAATATAAATTTACGTTTGTTTTAAAATCTTCTCTTTACTTACATTATATTAAAGTTTTGCTTAGATTTCCTTGCAAAATATAGTATGTTTTCCAGCATAGGACACAAGTTGACACAAATCGACACAAGTATCACTCTGTCTGTTCGATATTCAATGAGCAACAGAGAGAATAATACTTTTGTGTCGCTTGTGTCTCTTGGTGGAAAACTACCATGATCCGAGCAGTCATTTACGCAGATGTGCGTTCGGTAAATTAGGTCACGTGACTAGCAGATGATAAACGCAGTGGATGCGCTAACCGCTGCATAAACGAA